TTTTCCCCCTTTTTTTTTTTTTTTTTTTTTTTTTTTTTTTTTTTTTTTTTTTTCTATCCTAGAAACGATATAGTCTTTTCCTCGTTCCTATTTCCTTCGAATGGCAAGTCCCTCCTCCCCTCTGATAATGTAATATCGCGTTTTGTGGTTTATGCTATTTTCTTTCCACGACTATTTCTTTTTTTTTTTTTTTGGGCTTTTTATTTTTTAGTTTCATTCTCGTCCAAAGCACGTATTGTCTTCGTGAGTAGTCTCAGTAGTCGAGTAAATCTTCCGAATCAACGGTTACCACATGCAAACATTTATTGTATAACGAGCTTCGCTCACAAAACGCAGCAAATGTACATCGTAATTGTAAGCGCTTTTTTTTTTTTTTTTAAGTCACTATGCCGACGGTATCTTGATATATGTCCGCATATAGATTTGCGTATTTTCGTTTGCACATTAAACGTACCTGTATGTGTAGTTCGTTAGATTTTTTTTTGTTTTTTTCTTTTTTGTTCATTTCATTCATCTCTCGTTTAAACTTTCTTTATACAATCTTAGTCGCTGCCCAATTACACCCCTGTATGTCCAAAAATATGATGGAAAAAAGATACATATGGCTCTAGTACTTTTTTACATCCTTTTCTCACTTTTTTATAATTTCATTTAAATACAACCTATTTTATCCATTTAATAATATTAGAGATGTAAAATGTCGAGAAAGTTCTTTTTTTTTTTTTCTTTTTTGAGTACGATATTATTAAATTTCATTGCGATATAAAATATACGTGACGCTTTTTTTTTTTAAATATACCAGAGACGCGAATTTTTAGACATTTGAGCTGGTTTTTGTAATGTAAAATTAGCTAGTTACTTGTACTTTATAATTTATCGTTATTATTATTCTAATTTTTATCAACAGATTCGTACAGAAAAGAGAACAATAATCTGACTGAAGTGAAAAGAAACACACTTTAGGAATAATAACTAGAAGTGCTAATAGAGATTAGTAACACAAACAGTTATTGCTGAAACTAAGAATTAAATTATGAGATAATATTTAGAAAACAACCAAAATTACATATTAAAGATGTACAATAACATCCAAGTTAAAGTTTTTTTTCTTTTCCATTTCATTTTTTTTTTAATTTTTTTCCATCATTTTCTTCTTTCTTTTTTCTTTTTTTTCGATTTTTTTTTTTTTAATATTCGTCGATATTTTCTAAAAACAAAAAGGGCTCTCATTTGAAAAATGATTTAATCTTTCCGGAAAGTTTACATCTCTATTTTATATACATATATAGATATTATATTATATACATGTGTATATATATATGTACATTATATATAATATAATATATATATGATTTATTATTACCATAGTTATAATCAATACTAATACTATTATAATTACTACTACTAATCTCTCACGCTCCTGCTCTGGGCTTCTGTTCAAGTGATATGGTTCTTTGATTTTTTTGATTCTTTTCGATATAATACTGATTTGATCAAGAGCATTTGAACTTTTTTTTTCGAACTTGAACAACACGATGCATATTGTATCAAGCACAATTTTCTTATTGTTTTCTTTCCTATACATCTCGTTAGTTTAAATGCGTACTAAACAGTACTCGTTAAACAAAGGAGTCTTAATTCAAAGCTGATAACCCCCCAGAATGATACAGCTAATGAAATCCATCATCGTTTCACGATTGATTATTATCAACGACAATATCTTTAAGAAAATTCAAGCAAAACAAAAATTAAGAAAACATATGTCCCATAAAATTTTCATTCACTTTAATCAAACATATCAAACTCATGAAATGCATTAAAATAAGTATAGTCGATGATAAAATGAAAATGACACTTCCTTAATTAAATTCTTTATAATAGAATTTTTGGTAAATAACCACATAATGTATATCATATTACTAAACATAACATTATTGCTGAAGCGATCCTTTTCTTTTACATATAACTGCAGATTAGCAACAGAAACACAAAACTCCCTTACTGCTGTTTACGACATTAATACTATGCAATGTCCACTTGCAAAAACACGATGTACTGCTGTTATGCTAGTGAGTATTGCTTAACAGTTAAGAGAACAAATATCGCATTCATCTTATTGCCAATGATATACACATCAATGATATACTAAACCATACTCCTTTGATTATTAGTGTCAACAATTAGTAAACAGCAATAAAGTGTTATATTTAATCACAATACTACTGCTTCTGATAACACGACTAATTGTGATTACAATACCACTTGGCCAATAATGATTTGTTACTGTATAGCAAGATGGTATATTTTCGTCTTGTGCTAACAGATTTATTTGAAATTATACTTAAAAAAAAAATAGCTTAATAATATCTAATTTCGGAAACGAAATTTGTCCAGGAACGAAAACATTCAAAATGGTACAAATAAAGATTTTTATCACAAAAATTCAACTTAGAGATTTACAACATTTTCGTTCAATATATAATGTAAACTCAGACTCCTTTGTTTCATAGTCAAAGCACATACAAGCTCACAAAATTTTCACGTTATTTTTCTTTTGCTCTTGTCAAGCAACATATTTAAATTTAGATGTAAAATACAAAAATGTTTCATAAGTCTGGCTTAGGCAATATTTGCCAATTATAACTGACAACAATCCAAAGATAAAGTACTCGCGGATATCAGGAAATTTATTTGTATTATGAAAAAAAAAAAAAAATGTTCATAGAGTTTCAATATGAATTTCACACACTTCTCATCGATCACAGCCACTTCAAAACTTTTCTCAGGTAGTTTTTAAAATCATCACTAATGCTAACGGCAAGATAAATCTCAATCTCTATCCTTGTTTTAATAGAAACACTGGGTATGAAGACACTGGGTGTCTAAAAAAAAAAAAAAAAAATGGCACTTTTAATAAATATTACCTACACACCGAATCAGACTCTAATAATTACGCGCAATTGAATTTTTTTTTATAAAAAATTAACAAAAGTTCGACTAAATATATATATTATTATATATATTATATGTAAATATCATACACATAACATATAATATTATATATATTATTAATCTTTCCTACATCTCCCAAATAATTTTAATTTTCTTTGGAATTTAAATAAAGTACCGTTTTGAAATAAAAATATATATACAATAATATACGAAAAACAAGTTAGTATCGTCTTAATAAAATGAATGTCAGATTCAAAGATAACATGAAAATCATCAACATTGTCAAAATTTTATCATTGCAAAATACTAACTCTAAAATATTAGTCCCAAAATTTTTGTGATTACTGACTAGTTGCCAAAATATTCATTACCAATCAAAAAAGAGAAAACAAAAAAAACACACCTGAGATTTCTTTATATCCAGAAGCTACTGAAAGGAAATTTTTTTAAATGCATGTGTATTCAAAGTCACAAATATTCACTCTCATTCACTTTTATAATTTTTCAGTCCTTCTAAGACCTATTTCGCATAGATCAGATGCATAGTATGAGCCTTAAGAGTAGAAATTATGAATCATCTTAAGTATGGGAACTAGATAAAGATTTGCCAAATTATGCACTCTAATATAATTAGATTGACACTTACTAATGGCATTTGTTTAATTAAGAATTGGTTTAAATGCAGTAGCAACTTGTTGACAAAATGAGTTCAGATTGCCACTCCACTCATACCTAACACTACTACTCAAGTCATTATTTTTTCCTTTTCTTTATTACTTACTAACGAGATTTTAAACGCATATAATGCATTGCTTATACTTAAAAAAGACGGGCGATCAATAAAACTTGTATAAAATTGCTTAAGTTGCTCGTGATTGCATGACTATTTATATAAATAGGATGAGAATTATTGTTATTTAGCTAACTATTCATAAGTTAATAAATGAGTGGTGAGCATATAGCGTATATTTATAGTTTTATACACACAGGAGCGCAAAGGCAGCTAGACGATCGAACACTTATGGTTTGTTGTCCTTTCATTCTTTTATTCTTTCATTCTTCTTCCTTTCTTTCCTTCTCCCTTTCTTTTTCTTTTTTTCTTTCACTTTTCCTTTTTTCTCTTTTCTCTTTCCTTCTTATGTATATTCATTCTTTATCTCTTCTTAATTTACTTTCTTTACTCTATTCTCATCATTCACTTTTGCACTCGTTCAAACATTGCGCACGTACGAATTGAGAAAATATGTATACATAAAAATGTTGCTCAATAGCGATAATAGAAGTAATAGTAATAGTTGAATAGTAATAGTAGTAATAGTAGTAGTGGACATACTAGTAGAAGTAAAAGTATCAATGATAAATATAGTCAAACATGGTAGTTTCATCTAATCAGAGCACAATGCGTTCTTTTTTCTTGTATTCCTTTTATGGCTAGTTACTAGAGAAATAGTGAGAAATTGGGTTCAGGCGTGCTGTGAATGTGTATGTGAGTATGTATGTGTATGTGTCTCTATATGTAATTCATACGTATCGTTGGTAAGACACAAGTCAATACCTAACACAAATCTTTCAAAATGTATTCTAAAAACATAGATAAGAGCATTCTGCGTTATGCTTCTTTTCGTTTTTCTTTTATACATGACGCTACATCTTTTTACATAATTAAGAATTACTATCATAAATAAGAACTTGTAAAAAGTATACCTGGTACCGTAAATCGTGAAACTTCCTCTGTTAAAAAATCGTCATCCTGAATATAAGGGATGTCTACAAAAATCACCGAAAACTTGCACGAAGAGCGATAGCAGTCATCTTTCGAACGATACTTAGGTTGTATTGCTGTGGCGGGTTCGTAGTAATAATAGTAGTGACAATGATGGTAACAGTAATTACGGTAATGATGATAATGATAAATTGCTGGATGGTCCGCGGCAGGGGATCACTTGTCAGAACTTGGGCACTCTCCAGGTTGTTTCATTATACTGTAATCTAAGCGGTATTGAGCTGAAAGTAAAAGAGCAAAAATTACTTAAATGTCACAGAAAGACTATGTAAATTACTTATTTTTTATTTACGTGTAATTATAAACAATGACATTCTATATATATTTCTGAAAATTATTCAATAAACAAGTTAATCGATAAATAATTCTTTTGTCAAATCTTAATTAAAAATTTAATACATATACAAATAATAAATTACCTTTTTTGGTAAGATCCTCCATTGTTTGATCTTTACAGTCAACTGCAAGATGGCTACTACTGCCACAATTATAACACGAAATTTTCGTTGGTGGGACGGCAGCTGGTGCGTATGTAACAACTGGAGTAGGTGGCATATACGGCGCCTGAACGGGTGTTGCAGCATTTGGTGGAGGTGGTGGTGTTCCTCCCGAAGATGGATGACCAGGATATTGATACATCATTTCACCATTCGGTTGGTACGTGGCCGGATAAGCTGGCCTTGCATACGGTCCATGCGAGAAGTTAGAATAAATACCACTACTCGGTCTCAAAGCCGGGAAATGACCATGCGGCAGATATGTGACCTGCGACTGCGAAGGTGGCGCGGGAAAGGAAACGCATTGCGAAAGATTCGGTGGTCCACCGCCGTTCACCATTTGATTTTTATGATTATATTTTATTACGTGCGTCTGATTTCTTCTATTACGTTGCCTTTCCGGGCCTGACTGTATAGGCTGTTGGGATGCTGGATGTGATACAGCACTTGTAGAATGTACCGGTGCAGAGCTAAGATGGTCAGTAACTGGCGGTGCATTGTTCTCACTTCCGCTCACCCATGGTGCTGCCGGAGGAGTTTCTGGAGGAGATCTACTACCGGTACTATCGGAACTACTGCTCTGTGAACAGTGTTTGCTACTTTCAGGATCTAACCTCAAGGCTTGTAATTGCGTTAAACAATACACGTGTTGGGCATTGCACCTAAAATATATTAAAACGTTGTTAATTTATAAATCAACTTTGATAAATGTTAACATTATGTCCTTTCTTTCCTACCTTGAATATCGATTTTGTACCCCAGCAACAGGTAAGGTAAGACAGGCATAGCATGGTGCATTCTGTGCAGCATACATCGGTGGCGGTGCGGGATACATTTGTATTTGCGCAGGATCTAATGGTGGCATAGTAGGATATCGCCGTAAATTAGGAGCTGCATGATTATGATGATGATGCATCGCTGGATGCTGTTCCTGTAATGGCATTGACTTACTGCTTTGATTTCCATTATCATTCAACATCTCCATTCCCGGTATACCCTAAATGATAATTTTGTGTTATATATTTATTTACTGATTAAATGAGTTATGTATGAAGTTATGTGTAAATTATCAGTTATTACCTCATTTTCAACTGAATCTACAACTGTGTGTGTTGTGCTGTTGATATTATCTAATTTTTTATCAGCAGAAATTTGATTTAAGCCGTTAGTTGTTTGACTCTTAACGATACTTCTTAATTGTCCTACTGCATTTGGTGTTAATCCTATTTCCCTCAAATCCTCATCACTCATTCTTCGGATCTGTACAATAGATCACATATTATATTTATTAAAATGTATAAATACATGTATTATACATTTACGCTAAATACAAGAATAAAATTTATTATAAAATGTTTTATATAATAAAAAACTATTTTAAAACTTTATTGTCTCACCTCATCGAGAGTAAAATTCTGCAAATTGCCTTTGAAATTTGGCATTTCTTTTCCTAAAGTATCTCGTAAAGAATCACCAGAAATTGAAGATCGCAGTCGTGGTGGTGGTGGTTGTTTTGATTGAGGTGCTGCCGGAATTAAGGTAGAAGGGGTATTCTCGATGCTATTATGCCGTGAAAAAGTAGTAGAACTGCTGATAGACAAGGGAACAGAGCGTGATGGAAGCAATGGAGGTTGACTAGGATGACTTCTGTTCGTACCCAGTGTGGGAAGCGGAGGAAGGGAATTGACATTTGAGCTGCAGATGCTTGTTTGACTGTTAGAGGCACTCGTTGATGTTAGGGTATTCGAAGTAGACTGAGTTACTTGTGAAGAGGTGCGCGGCATTATATTATTTCTGCGACCCATTGGGGAATTGCTGCGACTAGGAGATCGAGACTGGGATGGTGACGATTGACGGCTGACTAAGGGGGAAGGTGGATAAGCCAACATGTCGCCAGTGTGATACATCAGTTGATTCCCCATCATAACCTGACCTGTCCATGGTGGCATATGATTTACTGATGGAAAGCCAAGATGAAGGTATTGTGTTGCACCACCTGATCCCATTGGCATTTGTTCTGGAGTTGGCAGGCATAATCCAGGTGGAGGCATGGAAAGACCAGGAGGTACTCCAGTTACCATATTATTTCTCATTGTCATTTCTCCTACAAATATTTTATAAAAGATATCAATATTAATACGCATATGTACATAACAAACATATGCATGCACATACTACATTATGCACCAATTACCATGATAAGTTTGCATTGGTGGTGGAGCCATCATACAATTGCCTTGCATCTCTGTGTCCATTAATCTTTCATTTGTATTTATACATGGTGCGCAACCCTATTATCACAACAGGTATAAATATAAAAATAATAAAAATATTTAATTATATCAGTAAATGTATTTAATACAGAAAAATTATACATACTTGTTTATAAGATGAATTTGATTTTGAGAGATTCAGACGAGCTTCTTCTTCTTGAAGCTTTATATAAATATTACCGAAGACACTTTTCTGCTCATAAGTAAATGCTGGATGATTTAAAGCCATTGTATACAATAAGAGCAGCTCTTCTAAAGGTTGATCATCCGGTGTAAAGGTGGTCCCATTTAATAGGTTAGAGATTTCTTGATAGTCAAAATTTGATAAATTCTTGTACAAGATTACAGCACATGCATAATTACATGAATGTAATAATGCCATATAGAGAGCAAGTTTTCTTCGTGTGCGCTTATCTGCCACACCTAAGGTTGTTAACTCTGCGAGATCAGAGGCACTGTTTGCATGATGTTCAGTATCACGGAGATCATTGTAATCCCGTTTACCAATATCCTCTACACAAGTGCCAAGGTATCGTACTTCAAATGGCAGGCACATGTTTAATAACGTGCACATGACATCGATTCGTTTATAACTGCACATATATAAATATATTTTTTTATAAACAATAAATTGTAATAATTCCTTTTTTCATTTATTTTAAAATATTTTAAAGTATCTTGAAAAATATAAAAATATGTGTGTGTGTGTGTGCGCGCGTGCGCGCGCGCGCGCGTGTGTGTGTGCATATATATACAATATCAACATAAAAGTATAGTTAATAAAAATGATTAAATATTATTAAGTAACAAAATATTAATAGAAATATCAATCAGGATAATTATTTGTGAACAATTTTTTATGAATTTTATCGTAGTATTTTATAATTTATATTATTTATATTTATATGTAAAAAATATATAAGATATCATAAAGGAGACAACTGTATTATTTATTAAAAATTATCAAATAAAATGACAATTAATATTGATTATTCCATCAAATTATTGAAACTTAAAATGTTAAAATCATATCAGAGTAGCAATTTAATTACAGCAGTAAAAATAACAATTTAAAACATACATAATCTTTTGTAACATAGTGCTTAATCTTTCGATTATTAATAACAGACTTTCGAAAATTTTATTAAAATACATATTCAATAGAAAATTAGAATGATACTGCTATTGATAACAATATAAAATATGTATATATATATATATATATATATATATATATACATATATGTATATATATGTATATAATATTTTATACATTCAAAACGAATATGGATTTAATTATCAATTCATTAAATCTTGATTACACGCGAAAATAGAGAAAAACAGTTGCTACCATACTTGGTACTCCTGTACAATAAACAGAAAAGTGATGTACTGATGATAGAGCAAATGAAACATTAACGAAAACCGACGTCCGTATAATTTCTTACTTACTAATATGTTCACGTTACATTTTTTACATAGAACTAAGATGAAATTGCGGAACGTTCTTTTTGGTTAGTTCGAAATTTGGTAAGGATGAAGAGGTCATAGTGAGAAACGAAACGGCGTGCTAAGAGCAAAGAGAACTGTAGCAATTCGTTTCCGAATAGGGGTATGGCATTAGTTAGGGAAGGAGTTGATATTATCTATTACCTGGACAGATTCCCAAACCATGATACCACGTTCTCCTTACACACCATTGCCAGACAACATTGATACCACTTGGGCTAAAGAAAGCGCCGATGCGGACAGCTTTGGCGCCTCGGGTGTTGCTATCAAGTGACAATCGCGGCGGGGTCTGGTACAATAACGAACCAGTTTCAAAGCGTTCACGAATATGAAAGATTTGTTAAAATCCAAAGGCGATCAGCCGTGGAGAGCAGTTCAAACGCACAGCGGCGGCAGCAGCAGTACAGCACACTGTGAAGTATCCACATTCGCGGCAGCAGGCAGAGGCAGGCACGACCGAACGATCGGTGAAAACGGCAAGCGTCAACGAACAAATCATACGTTCGTCAAAAACCTCGCGCAGACAAGTACACGATTGTCCCGTTAAAAATAAAACTCCACCTCTGCAATTGTCCCTACTGCGTACATTAATTCTCAGGAGATGTTCCAAGTCGAAAAGTCGAGTCTCGAGATCCGTTCACATGCTCGCGTTAAAAAAGGCATCAGGCACTTGCTGCTCCGATCTACAATAAAGAAGCATTTACATGTAGGTGGCGATCACATGTACCGATCAATTGCATTGGCTACCCCTTTTATTCATCGTCAATTAAAAGAACATTTTAACATTTGACGTAATACGCGAAAATTTATTTTCGTAAAACATTGTGTAACGATTGGTAGACAATTACCACTCGAAATTGTAATCGATTGCGTTTTAACATCATACACCAGAAAATCACACATAGATATTATTGGATCTCTTCATTAGACATTAGATATCATTTTGAGTAGTTATCTTATCAAATTTATATCGCATGTTGATGTTTTCTTTAGACGTTTTTTAGACGAAAATTTTTATAATTACAATATTAATTAAATGTAACGTGTGAAAGTTTTAAACAAGATCAAGTAATCGGTTATTTAAACCAAATTTTTTTATTATTTTCGAAATTTCTCGTAATATTAATACAACGTAGTTAATATTATTGTTTTATTAATTCTTTCGAATTTCAAGGATTTATTTACAATAAAAGAGCAATAAGGATAATAAAAGAATAATAAATCTGATGGCATTTTATATAATTGCTTGACCAGAACCAAATAACAAATATATTATACATCCTAAAGCATCTATTATAGCAATAAATATAAATACAACAGGCCAGCTGCGAGTTACATGTAATATATATCCAGAAAAGTACACCCCGAGAAATCCTGAAAATATTTCTATTGGTAAATTTTTGATTAATAGCACAAATTTCAGGTTTATATACCGTGTAAAAGATTTATGTACCAGGTATGGCACCAACAGTATTCATTAATCCAAATACACTTCCAGAATGTTTTGGTGCAAGATCTGAAGGATTTACTGCAATTGCGTTATTATGAAAACCTGATCCACCAATTATAAATGCAAGACAAATTATTGCACTTTGAAAAGTTTCTACTTTTGCTGAAATATTATTTTAAAATTAAAATAAAATAAACTATTTTTTCTAACTTCTCTACATACTCTACACACTATTATAAGCGTACCTAAAAATAATAAACTTATAATTTCCGTTAAAAAACATATTGTTTCAATTATTTTACGTGTCACTGTAATGGAATATCCTGCTTTTATTATTTTTTCAGAAAGAGCTTTACCAAAAAATGTACAAGGCAGCATAGATAGCCACGGCACCATGTTTACAACCCAACCCTAGAAGTAATAAAAAGGATTCTTAACATATTATATGGTCAAATTATATATAATACAAATGTTTATTAATAATAAATTACCTTTACTTCTGGAAATGTATCATGAAAATACATTGGCATCCAGGATAACAGTACAAAGAAACAGTTATTTTGACAAGCATGACCTATTACACATGACCTGAAAATAGTACTCAATGTGAAAAATTTATATAAAATAAAATTTATAACTATATTTTTATAAATTCATATAACTTTATATACTTTTTATATTAAGATTTGTGTCAGAAATTGTGTGAATTGTATGATAATTGAATTCAAATTGATCCCATGCACAATGATTACCAGAATGGAGGCTTTTTTAAAAGCTTCAACCAAGGCAAAGTGTAGTTAGTTGCTGATTTAGTAGAAGCTGTTTTTTCCTTAATAGGTAGAGTATGGTAACTTAATAGCAATGTCCATGCCAAGCTCATGCCTCCTAAAATAACAAATTTATTAATAAAAAATAATAAATAAAAATATATATTTAATACATTATGATTCACATTTGTATAATTATTTAGAATTTTAAAGCTAATGTTTGCATAACAAATATACAAAATTTATAATTCAAACCAATATATTGTTAAATTAACATTATTGCTAAAAATATAACATACATATGTTAGTTGGATCACTGTAAATTAATTAAATAAATGTTAATATTAATATAAATAACATAATTATAGATTTATTTACCTAATGTTTGAAACACTATTACCCAGTTATAATTTTCCAACAAATAAGAACCTAAAGATCCAGTAAGCAATGTACCAAGGGCAGATCCTGACGTTAATAAACTAAAGAATGAGGCTCTTTCTGTTTCATGCATTCGTTGGCTTATTAAACTAATCATACTGGGAAAATGCATTCCTACAATATATGTGTAAGTAACAAATCATCTTTTATATCTTTTATTTGTTTACTTTATCAATTTAACAAGAATACCTTGAAATGCACCATTTATCATTCTTACTGTTGCTACTAATAATACAGAGCTATCACTTTTTGAAACAAGTTCTATGACTCCTGGCATAAAAAATGTTGTCATAGACCATCCAAGAGCAGAAATCAATAATATTTTTTGTCCACCAATTCTATCACTAATATAACCACTGGCAACTTGAGTTAATGTATAACCCCAAAAAAAGCTAGACAATATTACTCCAGAGTCAGGTTTAGACCATTGTTTCTCTTTACTTATAATTGGCATTAATAAAGGAACAGATGTTCTTGTAGCATATATGAGACAAGTACCACACAATAATGATAAAAACCATTTTCGCCTCTCTTTCCTAAAATCCACTTCATAATTTTAGTATACATCATTAAAACATAAAATAATCTTATAAAATAATAAGAAATGTTTTAAATGTAGACATTCGTTATATAAAATAATTACCTGGACCAAGATGAATTTGTTTTTTCATCTTGAATTAAAGGTATTTGCATTTGCATTTCTCATCAAATAATTTCGTTCGGAAATAATTATTGTTGTTAACATATATTGAAAATGTATAAAATAGTATTAAACATATTTTTTTTTAATTTTAATAGCAGATCAGTAGCAAAAAATAAAAATAAATTCGTATGTTACACTTCCTGAGTTTCCTAAGATTATCGTGGAACTGGAAGTTTCCGAGATCAAGTCATCATTAATTTCATGAGATTATTAAAGACAAGTCAATCTGTTATGAATATTTAACAACTTAGTTTTATCGGAAAATATACATTAATACAAATTGAACAAATACAATCGATTCTTACAAAATTATGTTACATGTATAAGTGACATGTACATATATACATAAATGTTCACTTTTGTTTAATTTACATAGCTGATAAATTAGAGATTACACAAATATCAAGTTCATTTCTTAGATAACAGATTGAAAAATAGAAATACATTGAAGCTGCGTTATTTGAAAACTTTATGGAGTAAACAATAATATGGAGTAGCCAATAATATGAAGTTGTCTTATCAAGATATGTAAGTATGAGAGCGGGCGTAAACGCAGAAATGTGTATGAAGAAATATATATATGTATAATCATTTAAATTATCGAATGTGAATATGAATTAATAAATTTTTTTTATACATTTTTTATACATTTCAAACATAGTTTTACGAAATATTAATTATGATTGTAAAAAAAACATATAGTACACAAAGAAAGATGTATATATATCTAGGAACTTACAAATAATTTAAAAAATCTTAATATATCATAAGAATAGAAAAATATTTTTACAAAGCGGGCATGTAATTATATAATTATTTAATATACTTTACTCCTTAGAATAAACTTTGTAGTCAACTTCACTTCTAATTATCTTAAAATTTTGCACGCATTAATCATCAGAATTAGTGTTTCATGTGTACCATAATCCATTTTAAGCAAATTTTTAAATGACCGCTAAATACATAACAATATCATAAGATTCTATTAATAGAAATGGATTATATATTATATATATAAATGAATTATTATATTTTACCACAGACGAGGTATATGAACCTCGACTGTGACTTTACAGAGAAAATACATATTAAAATACTATTGAAATATAATTATTAAATTTATTTCAGAAAAAATAAACTTTACTTCAGTAAATCAATTTGCACCATGAAATACAATTATTTATTTATTTTTATTTTTATTTTTATTTTTATTTTTATTTTATTTTATTTTATTTTGTATATTTATCGCAGCAAAAGTAAATCTATTATTATTTTTTTCAGATATCATTTTTTATTATTATGATCTTTCATAAATCATTCGTATCATATTTCATTTTATTTCTATCTACAACTCACATTTTCCCGCTCAACAACTTATGAAACACCTTGTATAAACGATAAGCATTAGCAAATTTTACATTCGCCATATATCAGAAATGATCCAGATGTTGAATGGAACGATGTCGTATTATATTACTGCTAAAATGGTACATAGTAAGAAGCTAATTAAATTTCCATTTACATGCAAGTTATTTAAAAATAACCGCAATCTTAGTTTGAATAATATTAGGTCAATAAGGTAAGATTTATATTTTAAAAAATTGATTGACCTTTTTAACCTTTATACTATAAAATACAAATTAGGAATTCTTCCATATTAGAAATTTTTTAAAAAGAAACTTAGCAGCATGAAATATTTAAAAATAGCACTAATTTATCTTTCTCTGTCATAAAATTTATTTTACGTGTGAATTTAATTAACATTAAAATATTTTATATGTTGTAGTTCATGGTGGGATAATGTAGAGATGGGTCCACCGGATCCAATATTAGGTCTTACAGAGAGATTTAAAGCAGATACACACCCAAATAAAGTTAATTTAGGAGTTGGCGCTTATCGAGATGATGATACTAAACCATTTATTTTGCCAAGTGTAAAAAAAGTATGTATTATAACTCAATTATAAGTTTAGTTAATGTAACTTATTAATTTAATAGAATCAACTATATTATAGGCAGAAGAAAAAATTAGAAATAGAAATATGGATAAAGAATATTCAACAATTGCAGGAAATGCAGAATTTTGTAAACAAAGCATTCTGTTAGCACTTGGTGAACACAGTAATGTTATTAAGGAAGGTTTGGTATGTATTACATGTATTACATGCTATATGATTTATTTATAATTATAATACTTTGTAGACTGTTACTGTTCAAACACTTTCTGGTACAGGAGGGCTTTGTGTCGGAGGACATTTTTTCTCGCGTTATTTTAGTGGCAATAAAGAAATATATTTACCAGTACCTACATGGGGAAATCATACTCCTGTATTTACATTATGTGGACTTCCAGTAAAACAGTATCGTTATTATGATCCAGAAACATGTGGATTGGATCATAAAAGTCTTTTAGAAGATTTATGTGTTAGTAATATATAAATATTTTAAATGATATATAAATAATATAATAATATTTTAAATGATATAAATTTTATTTGTAATATTATGTTTTATAGACAATTCCAGATAAGTCCATTATTCTTCTTCATGCATGTGCTCATAATCCTACTGGTGTTGATCCTAAACCAGAACAATGGAAAGAATTAGCAGAATTAATAAAGAAAAAAAACCATTTTCCTTTTTTTGACATGGCGTATCAAGGTTTTGCTACAGGTAGAACAATACATAAAAAATTAATAATTTAGTAGTACAGGTAGAACAATATATAAAAAATTAATAATTAAATAGTACAAATCTGTATATTAAAAGATATATTGATGTAAATTTTAGGTAGTCTAGAGAAAGATGCTTTTGGCTTAAGACATTTTGTAGAAGAAGGAATTCAACTTGCTCTGACTCAATCATATGCTAAAAACATGGGTTTATATGGTAAGTATATGAAATAAAAATTTCGTAACAATCTTTTCTGATAAATGGAAACACTTAAAAATTATTGATTTTTGTAGGTGAACGTATAGGAGCATTTACAATGGTTTGTGCTACCAAAGATGAAGCAGATCGTGTTTTATCGCAATTAAAGCGTATAATTAGACCAATGTATTCTAATCCTCCGATTCATGGTGCCAGAATTGTTTGTGAAATCTTAAAAGATTCCCAATTGACGGACCAATGGATGATTGATATAAAAACAATGGCTAATCGTATTATATCTGTACGTCAAAAATTGGTTGATGATCTTAAAAAGGCGGGTAGTGTCCGTAATTGGAAACATATTACAGACCAAATTGGAATGTTTTGTTTTACTGGTCTTAAGCCTGATCAGGTACTATCATTGTTAGTTACTGCTGTTGATACATGTACAATATAATATAGTTTAATTCTTTTACTGTTTATTTTACAGGTAGAAAAACTTATAAATAATCATCACATATATTTGACAAAGGATGGTAGAATATCTATGGCAGGTGTAACATCAAAAAATGTGGAATATATTGCAAAATCTATACACGATGTTTCAAAATAGTAAAACATTTCTACCAGTTTTTAAGAATATGTATTAAATCTTGTTTTTAATTTTTAAATACGTTATATACATAAGCAGTATAAAAATATATTTTGTATCAAATGCATTTAATCTCGCATATTATTTTTATAAGAGCACTCTGCAGGCAGTGTATTACATATTAATAATCATGCACTAATATAGTATAATAATTTTTATATTATGTATACTTATGAGTACTTTTATCGTTAAAAAAAATATTTAAATAAAAATGTTATGAAATTAATATTAAATGTTCTAAAGATTCAATGAATTATTATTATTTTTTAAATTATAAGCATTAGAATTAATTTGAAAGTTTCAAATTAAATTTCAATTGCTTGGGATATTTCGGTACGATTCAAATCGAAAATAATATCGATGAATATTTTCGATAGTGGAAGTTTACGATAATAATCGATATGCTATCGATATTTCTTTAACTTTACCAAGTTCAGGCATATTTGTGTATGTCACAGTGATACGTGAATTTAAATTTAATATTTTCTAAAAAATTCTATTATTCATAGGTCTTCGAAAGAGTGCTGCAACAAATACGTAAATATGGTAAAAAAAACCTGAAAGTGAAAAGAGAAATAGAGACGAGACATGTTCTGTTCGATGATTTTTTAAAAATAAAGTAAGGTTATGTTGTTTTGATTAAAATGACTTTTCACTTTCAGTTCGGATTTAACATGTTTCCGGAGATTGTCAGACCTTTCAACAATCATTACAGATGTTTTTCTGTATCAATGTTACCGGGTACATACCGTCGAGATGTAGAACGTGGAGGAAAAAGTATATATATCAAAAAAATTTCTCACGATTTCTCTCAGTGAACAAGGTGTAAGATTTTTAATTGTTTTTCAGTTATTATGCCACCCTCAGCTTTGGAGCATCTTACGAGATTAAATATTAGATTTCCTATGTTATTCAGATTAAGTAATGAAAAAACAAATAGAATCACTCATTGTGGAGTTTTAGAATTTGTTGCAGATGAAGGAAGAGTTTATTTACCTTGTTGGGTAGGTTCAAATTCTTAGTACTTTGTTGTTGATTGAAAATTCTTAATTGTGTTATTCTACAATTATTCGCAGATGATGTATAATCTTTTGTTACAAGAGGGAGAATTAATAAATGTTGAAAGTGTAACTTTGCCTGTTGCAACATTTTCACGTTTTCAACCACAATCTGAAGACTTTTTAGACATTACAAATCCTAAAGCTGTTTTAGAAAATGGATTAAGAAATTTCGCTTGTCTCACAACAGGTGACATTATTGCTATAAAATATAATCAAAGAATATATGAAATGTGTGTTTTGGAAACAAGACCTGGTCCAGCAGTTACTATCATAGAATGTGATATGAATGTTGAATTTGCTCCACCATTGGGATATGTAGAAAAAGAAACTACAAAAGATGAAAATGTAATGGATCCTGCAGATTTAATGCCAGCACCATCTGGTTTTGTGCCATTCAAAGGAGAAGGTAATAGACTAGATGGCAAAAAACGAAGAGATTTTGCAAAACCAGAAGTTACTACAAGTAAACCAACTTATGTTAGAGGAATACCAGATTATGATTATAAAGTAGGAACAATTACGTTTTTACGTATTATTAAACCTATTAATAATAAAGAGGTAAGTTGAAATATTATTTGTATGTTACTTTATTTTTATACAAATACATATATATTTTTACAGGCCAAAGATCCAGATGAATTTAAAGCATTCACTGGTGAAGGTTTTTCTCTTAGGAAGTCAAAGTAATTATATAATTGGTGATTTATTTATTTTCATACAATTACTTGTATTTGTAAAAGTGAGTATTTATATTTGTAATTAAACTATTATACTTTTTAACAAAAAAGAGTCTTATACAAATTTTTCAACCATTACGCGACTTTTATTTATAAATTTTCTTACTTGCATAACATATCGTATATTATAGTATAAAAATTTATATTTTATTACTTAACTATTTTACGAATAAGGTCAAAAAATTATCACTATAAAAACACTTAATATATACTGTTGTACTATCACAAATTACAGGATTGGAATCAGAATTTTAATCCACCAATGGACCCCAGAAATATTTACTAGGTTTTGTTGGGTCTTCTGTTAAGAAAAATTCACGACCCAATGTTATAAATTCATCAAAACTAATTTTACCATCATCATTAGTATCAATATGGCTGAAGGAAATAATTGCATCCTATAATGAATGTTTTAATTTAATTGATTCATTAATTTAACATTGTTTTAATAATCATGAAAGGAAATGTGCAATTCTACTTACATCACGTGTAAGTCCTAAACATTGGAAAAACAACTGAAATTCTTGTTGTGAAATTTCACCACTTTGATCTTTATCTACTGCCTGGAATTTTATATTTGATAATATTTTGAAAATATTTTTTAACAAATATTTATTTATATAAAAGCATATTTTTAAAAACATACTTTGAATAAAAACGGCAAAAAATGATGACATTTTCTTTTCAATGCTGAATCATTAAGAACATGTTGCATTTTTCCCAAATATTTTTCAATGCAAATAAGATTATATGAACTAATTTCTCCCCATTGTTCTTCCCACATTTCCTATGTATAAATAAATATACAAATATATAATATATATTTTCTTATATAATGCACACAAAAGAGATTGACTTACATTCAATATTGTTTTGAATTCAGTTTTTGCTTCTGGAGTCAAGTGTCCTAAATTAGAAAATCTTTTCTCAAATAATATAAAATCATCGTAACTAATAACTCCATCTTTATCAACGTCTAAATGATTATGCAACGTCCGCATTTTCCTTCTCCAAAAAAGTGTTTGTCCCTGATAAATAGGAAAAGCTCTAATGTATTAAAACATTTTAAGTAATAAGAATTTGACAAAAAAATGCCTTACCCTTTCTTGTTTGGCGTCAGAATCATTATCAATTTCTTGTTCATTTACAGAAATATCCGTCTGATATACGCTTCTTGTACTATATGTTAGCGGAACTATTTTACAAAACTGGAAATAAAACATTTTGTTTATATATTCCTTGTATAAATAAAATGTTTCAAAAATTATTTGATTATGATAATTGTATTATATCTAATTACATTATGACGTCACATCACAGCGATCATGTTAACATCGTAAATACATAGTTCAATGAACTCCGATGCAACGTAAAAGCTCGAAGAAAAAAAAATTTAACCTTAGTAAATTAGAACAATTTAATAATATATAACACCACTATTAAAAATATTACTCAAATTTTTGCATTTGAGTAATATACATAATAAACATAATATTACATTGAGTAATATATCAAAAATCGATATTTCGATTTTTATAAGTATAAAATAAAATATAATAATGATAAAATTAACATTCATTTATATACAAAATGAAGTAGCACATAATATTATATATTTATTATAATCTGTTCTTATAAATAATACATAACTTAATCCTCGATAAACAATTTGAAAAAAGTAAAAATGAATATATAAAATATTCAAATTTTCTTAAAGTTAGAAGAACTCGCGCTTAAATAACATTTAAAAACGATTATTTATTTACTGTTTTCATTAATTAATATTAATATTATTTCATATTAACGTTACTTAATAATATTTATTATTTCGTATTAACATTATTTTTAATATTGTAAACAAAATATTTCTTAAAAAAATTTGTTATATACATTAATCTTTATGTATAATATACGAAAAAAATTACCTGATTGTAGTTTAGTAAAATATTTTGTTTTTTTGATATTCCACAGTACAAAGCTGAAATAGTTCTTTTCTTAAAACGCTTATTGGAAATTAGAAATCGTAGATCAGTTCGTAATAATGTTGCTGTCATTTTAACTGAAGATTCAAGAGAACTTTTTGTCACACAAAATTAGATTCTACTTAAAATCGTTTGGGACTTGATACTGAAGCTGAGAAGAATAGCGGACCCTTTTTGATGGATCGGTCTTAAATTCTCCTCTCTGTTCCTTGCGCTTGCGCAACAGTGCTCTGTCCCCCTTTTTTTTCTCAATGTTTGGGATTATGGTACACTGACTACGAGTGTTCCTGCACGTCACTTTCTTTTCGTAGATAAAGTCACAAGTGTACATATTAACACAATTAATAACACGAAGAAATAAAATATTTAAAAATATAAATATTAATAAAATCTTTAACAAGCATTAAACAATGTTCTATTTGAATTTCAATATCAATTAACGTAACACAATGTATAAAAATAATTAATAAACATTGAGAGAAACATTTTATATATGTTTTACATTCTACGCCTATGCGTTTATAGTTATCGCAATGTTAGAGAAAATTTTATGTTTGATCAGTCCGTTTTAGACACGAATAAAATTCGAAAAGAAAGAATGATTGAAAATATAAAGATCAGATGTCAATACACACAAAGAAATTTCAATGAATAAAAAGTAGGTCAGGTTGACATACACGTGTACTTAAATGAACGTAAATAAGCATACGTGACGGAAAGCATTGTACGATTTAGTTTATTGATGCAAGTTTTATTCAGAATGATTAATGCAATGTAACATGAAAAAACATGTTTTTAGCAAATTCTATAAAATACTATAAAAAATAAAAATTATAATTCGAGTCATAATTTATATTTATTAAATAAAAAATATGATCATTTTTATCTTGTAGTTTCATTTTATTTATATCAAATGTAAAATATACAATTTATATTTTTATATAAATGCTTAAATAATAATACAGCTAAATGGATTATATATAGATCAATGTTGAATTTCATTATGAAATTTCATTATCAATTCATCATATATATATATGTATATAAATGATACACATATACACACATATATATATTATATTGTAATTCTCAAATGTATTTTAATTCTTTTTGTATTCAATTCGTTCAACTTTTACTTCATCACCAACAAGTTGATAGACATAAGTTACAACTGTTGAACTTTGAATATCCATTAGAACAAAAGATGGAATAACTGACCTATAAATATAATATATGATTAATGAAATATAATGAAAGAAATGTATAATAATGTAAGCAACATTTACAATTTACTTTATACTATATGCATAAAACCTTACGTGTCAAGAGGATTATATGCCCCTGTTGCAGAACCAGGATTAATATAAAATTTATTTTCATGCTCATATGCTTCAAATTTATGTGTGTGGCCTGATATTAAAATATCAACATCTAATTGTCTTTGAATTAAAGCTAATGATTCTGGATCTCCCCATGGTACCACTTGATGTCCATGCGACAAACCTATTCTAAATTGACCAACAGTGACTACTTTTTGTTCTGGATAATTTAAATTCTGTATAAAAGAAAATAATGAAATGTACAATATTATTAAGTTACAACAATATTAAATGAATGATAAATAAAATATACCTCATCAAAGTCTCCTCTAACAACATGAACATCACTGGCTAATGTTTTCAAATAATCATATGATTCTTTTGTACAAAGATTACCTGTACATAGAATATGTTGTATTCTACCAGGCACCAATAATTTCTTAAATTTACTTGGAAGACTACTACATCTATGTGGAATGTGTAAATCTCCCAATACTAAAACAAGCTATAAATATCAAACATTATTAGTACACACAATAAACAGTTATATAAAATTATATAATATTATTGGTACACACAATAAAATTATATAAATATATATATAATTTTTATAATATTTCCTTGAGGTTAGGTTTATTAATCAATTTCTGTTATCAATATTTTGTTTCATGTACTCACCATGACGAATTTAATAATATTTTTAAAATTCCTATATATTTTTTTGTGTTGATATTTATTTTATTGCATTTGTTACTTGGGAAAAACAGAAACTAATTAAATGTCAAACGCACTATCGGTAGTAGGTGCATATATGTTTGACAGATAAGCGTTCGATTTTCGAGATTCGAGATCCTATTAATTGTCGATTGTTTTACAATGCGCTAAAATATAAACTTTATATTCTTATTCAAAGTTTATATTTGCTAATAATGTAGATAATTCTTACAAAATATACATTTATAATTATTATTTATTTACATCAATTATTTGTATCTTGGATATATGAACAAATATTTTTGTTATGATTACTTAACTCAATTGTCCACAGTTCATTTTACGTATAATATTATGAATTTCTTTTGTTATTTCTTTTCTGATAATTACTAAATTTAATATTATTTAATGTTTTATTCCTAAGAAATAGTGTAATGAAGGAAATTTAACATGAAGTGTGTTGTAGCAGGAGCTAATGTAAAAAGTATGTTGGTTTTACTTAGGTTATATTTTGCTGGTGTCTTATTTAAAGATATTTATTTAAAACCAATATTAATATGAAACATTTATTAGTTTTAGCAAAGGCTATACATGCATTAACCAAAATTGGAGATGAAATGTACATAGAACCACATGAAAATACTTTATCATTTCGTACTGTTAATATGCCAAATTCAGCCTATGCTGATTTTACATTCCTCAGAAGTTATTTTTCATATTATGTTTATGGCGATTTACAAGAAAATGATGCATTGAAATGTAAAATTTCAATGAGGGTAATAAAATTTCATTGTATTTCAATGTTACAAATAATAATATCCCTATTTTACAGAGTGCGATAGCTGTATTTAAATCTATAAATTTAATAGACAAACAAGTAGAAACATGTCACATTAACTTAGAGTCAGATGCATCTGAAATTTTGTTTATTTTAAAATATAAGAATGGTATTACTAAAACTCATTTGTTGCCTATATTAGATTGTGAAGTATTACAAGTACGTATCATATGTACATAATAAATCATTCATGTTTTTATGTCTTATTATCTTTTTTCTTTTATATTTTTCAGACTACATATAATAAGGATTCTGCATCAATTAAACTTTCATCTCAATCGCAAGTATTAGGAGATGCAATGCAAAATTTTCATCAAAATTTAGTTGAAATAACACTTGAAGTTTGTGCACAAAAGCTATTATTAAGAAATTATGTTGATGATACCTCAGGTAAATTTCAATAATAAAAGTAGTTTGTCTGTATAATATAAAATAAAAATATTTCCTAGGTTTATCAAATACAATACGAACACAATTTGCACTTGGAAAGGGAGAATTTGATCGATATGATATTGGTAGTGAAACATCAATTACTTTTTGTGTAAAGGAATTTAAGTCTTTCTTAAATTTCGCAGAGTCTGTAGTTACACCAATTAGTATATATTTTGAAGAAGCAGGAAGGTACAAAATTAATAATTTAAATCCTAGTTCCTTTAAATTACATGTATTTGAAATGAAATGTTATACATGAATAAAATATTTATTAATGTTTTTCAGACCTGTTATATTTGCGTTAAAAAATCAATCTTTTGAGGTGAATTTAGTGTTGTCAACATTGTGTTCCGATTTAGATAGTCAAGCAGAAACAATATTAACTAATAAACCACAAGAAACATCTGTAAGAGGAAGGGCAAAAAACAAACGAGTTCCTAAGAGAAATAATAACAAATCTAGTAATAAAATTCAAGATAAATCAATTAAATCTACACTAGGAAATGATATTCACAAAAAATCACATCCACATTTGATGGAAGAACAGATAATACAAGCTAGTACATCTACAGAAGGTAACCAAAATGTAAATAGAATAAGCAATCTTCCAATAGAACAAAATATTGATGAAGAATTTCAAACTTCTTCGTATAATTCTGATATAATTACGAACTTTAATAAAACGACTATAAGTGGGAAAAAATTAGTGAATTCTCCATTTCCTACAGTAACAAAAAGGAAATCTAATAACAGTGATATTAACAAAGAAGAGAATTTGGATGATGATCAATCTGATCTATTTGAAGACAAAATTCCAAATTCGCCATCTCCACCAAATAAAAAGGCTCGTTTAATTTTCCAAAAGTGCTTTCAAAAGACATTTGATCCAAGAACATTGCCAGGGTATGACATAATTTTGGTTGAAGATTCAGATGAGAATTCTGACAAATAACTTTTCATAATCTTTTCTTTTGTGCCTTAATTATGAGCTTAGTATGAGATTACTTTAATTTATTAGTCACTAATTTTATTTCAGTTAATGCAAGTGTTAATATATATCTATGAATACGTTTATTTTACAGATAAATATGTACAATATATATACATAATAGGTGTTTTAATATTTTCAAAAATATCAAATATTTCTGTAATACACATATTGTATTATATTCTACTGTGTTTGTAATCTTATAATTTTAATAATTTTATATTATTTATTATATACTAACATTCTTAATTTTAAAATATCGCAAATTACTAAAATGAAATTATTTTTTATATATTTTTATTATTAAATAAACAAAATTTTATATCATTTGTTTCTTTTTTAAATTTCACGTTACCCATAAATAAAATAAAAATGTATCTTTATTAACAAGTTATATATAGTACAAGAATAATGGGGCAAAATTGTGGAGTATTTTATAAAGGAAATATATGTGTTTCATAAAAATTGTACAGCACTTTCTTAAAGCTCCTTAAACTCTATCAAAATTGTTGTTAATCTTAACATTAATTTTACGTTTAAGAATAATAACAAATTAACAAATGACTATTATTTGTTAGACGAACTTTTGACGTAAAGGCAGAAATCTAATTCCTTTTCTTGTCGCTACATGAAAATGCTACTAGAAACGCAAGTAGGAACGGCTTTCTATCTACTGCGTATTCCTGGATTTTACATGTCAGGGGGGCACCACTAAAGTTAGAGAACTAAAAATCGTGATCCCGCAGTTGATCTTGAAAGAATGCAATACGCGGACGTATCGTGACCGTACATACGAGGTCGAATTGTTCCGTAACGATTCCGCTTGTACCGATACTCGTAAGTATGCTAACAATTCTTCGAATCTTCATTGATAGTAACGGGTTCGCGTAATATCGAGAAACGGCGAGATCTCCGCACGGTAATATACGCGACGGTAACAACAGTGATTATTATACAACCGTTGCCTCGTATGCGTACAGAGAATCGCTAAAGCATTACGATCGACAAGAAAAGTGCGTGTACGTGAGTGAACCGCGAGTGCCTCAACCCTGATCTCCGCGCCCTTCTGAAAATCGTTTGACAGTAGCCACCGTGATTTCTCGCGAACGATTTTATCGATGACGTGCCCTGGACCGGTCAACGGAGAGTACAAAGTGTTGCATGTTGCGTGCTAGGGCAAGAAACAACAAGGGTCTGTATCGTCGCGTTTCAACCATCGAGGTGGGCTGCACCGACGAGACACTGGACGTTCCTAGATTGGCGGTAAATACACATTTATCAACAGCGGTGTTTCTCTCCTTTTCCTCCCTTTCTCAGGCCTGGCTTCTCTTTCTTTTACTTACTGTTTCGTCTGTTCTCTTGTCGTTCGTCTGTCTTACGTAGCATTTCAAGCGTGATATAATTTTTCTTTTCTCTCTCCCTTTCTTCCGTTCTTTTTTTTCTTTTTCTTTTTTTTTTCTCTCTATTCATTCTTCGTACCGTAGCAAGTATGTGTGCGTATTGCCAGTTCGCCCTCTCGCCGGTGTCACGTATTAATATTGATCAGAGGGCCGGTAACCCGGAGGAAGGCGATATATCGCCTGCGCTTTTCCAAGCACAAAAACTCTTAGGCTCCGCCCCGCGCCAATTTTCACCAGTCGGGTGAAATACTTTGCGATTTGTTCAACATCGTGCCCCAGACTTAAACCCCAGACGTTGTTCCCATGTTGCACGCATTCGCGGATATTTACTAGAATGATTTACGAACGTGTAATAAACGTCAGTGGTCGTCGAGTGGGATCCTCCCATTCCTGGCCACTCGAGAATCGGTATGTTAGACGCGTCTGAAATCTCCGCGACTGTTAATCCTGGTCTTCGACTCGCTTATACGCGAGAGAAGAAGAGAGAGGCTTTTAGATCGGCGCCGGATGCTGCTCGCTAATCATTCGACTGGCCGCATCCGTCCCCTCGCGAAAGGGTTCCCCACGAATACGCCCGGGCGATAAGAAGGGGTGTACACAACACATTGCCTCTCGCGGATGCGAGCAACCGGCGAGATCAAAGATCCTCTCGCGTAACGCGTTCGTCGTTTTCGTCGTGGAAATCGTGTTGTTCCGCTGCCGCTTGAAAACCGAGGGACCGCGTTTACCGAATTACATAAGTCAATTAGTCTATTTTCAGATAGCGAAATTCTTAAACGTGCGAGTTATAAGCGGCTCGCTCGGGCGGTGCTCGTGATTTCTTTTGACACTGTCTAACTCGAGAAGAATTCACGTATCCGTATCGTTGAAATAACAAGCGGATATTTTCCAACGTGAACGTAGCTCTTTTTTAATTTGCTCGCATTCATGCTCGAGCGCGAAATGAATGTTCTCGATGAACATACTATGCGAGATGCTGTTAAGAAATGGAAAAAAGAAGAAAAAGAATGTAACGTTGAAGATAAGTGAAACGAATTCATCGAATATTTCGAGTATATATTGTAGATTATAACTGGCAGCCAAATGTGTTCGCGCGTGCGAATTAATGGTTGTTTGCGACAAACTTCGCGCTAGTTACCCTCGAACTATATACATAGATAGGCAAAACCTACTTCTCCGAAATGATCTTTATTTAGTTATGCTGCCAACAGAGCGTAACTATTTCTTTCGATGTTCTATTGTCTGAGAAATATATTCAATTAATAATAAAGATCACGAGAGCATGAAACAACGTGATATCACACCAGACGTCAGTTGTTGACAATGTTTTCATTGTTATTATATCCATAAACGGCGTCGATGATAGCAGGAAGATCGTACAAATTTTAGTCATTGATCGTTTACGCGTTACGTGCCCCTCCACCATATTTGTATGTTTATGTTGGCGATCCATTCGTTTGAATTCTGCAATTACGTGTTAACTTTGAAAATTATATTTGCTCCAGTCGGCATATAATATTCATATTTGTTAATGTAACGCAATCATCGTTTATGCGAACGGTTATAAATATTACACGACAGACACATGTGTACGTTTGGTTATTTTTTCAGTTACCGAAGATATTTACATAGCGTAAGCAATTTGCTTACATAAAAGTTTTTTGGTCCAGGTAGGAAAACACTAAATACTTTGTTTTTTTTTTTTTGTAATTCTTGGTCTTTAAGGTCACTTTTTTCTTTCACGTTACATAGATCCATATAGATCCACGTGGTAGAAAGTTATAGAAGAAATGTGGCGATTTAGGTTCCTACGTTTATTAACCATAAATTTTGTCACTGTTTTCAACGCACGTTGGCTGATCTCAAATTTGATTTCCAGATATACATCATTCTAGCGTGTTATTTGTGTTCAGGCCTTAAATCGTAAGCACCAGCGTTGAAACTACTGTTTAAATTCTTATGTTTTTAAACTTTTATTATCTTATATCTTATGATGTAACAAGAGTCACTGATCTAAGCGAAAAGCTGTAGCTAATTTATTGGCTTTATGGCTTTATATCATGGTAGTCTCGTCAAAAATCACGTTCAACACCCGGTGTATGTAAATGGGGGGAAATAAATATCGTAACTCGCGTATGTACATTTGATAATTCCAGGTTATTAACATTAGCAAAACAAATTGTTGCAAAGTTGTCTGTTTACTACAGCAACCAATTACAACACACTGAACGAATGAAAGAATTAAATGCTGGTTGATTTGTGAGTTTAACAATTACTCATCGGAGATGTGCGTGTAAAACATATGTCGGAAGGCACTTGCGAATTGTAGGAGCCCAATCTCATTTCGTATCACGGATAGAAACAATTCGAGAGGAAAGTGGATCGAAAACAGGTCGTCATTTGTTCTCCCGATATAGCAACCGAAATTGATTATTCGACCAACGTTGCATCGATCCGCAAATTTAAATTTGCAATTTTACTGCCGTGATTTCCAAGGTCCGTTCAATTTCTTTTCCAGTTTTCAATGTCTCTGAAAAAAAAAAAGAAAAATTTTTTTTTCCACAGTGAGTTACTGTACAAATATTTACTGTATGCGAAGTATGCTTAGAAGTCTTTTAAAAATATTATGCTTACACGATTTTTGAGTGTTATTTGGCTCTAATTGCGTTAACCAAACATTAATTTTAGAATATCCGTGTGTACGATAGTCGATCTCTTGAGAGAGCCCCTCCCACGCGAGTGCAAGGTTGTAAAAATCATAATTTTTCTTTGGATGGCGCGGGACATGTGTTTTGGCTTTTCAGGCCTTGTGTTAATGGCTTTCATGCCTCGTGGATTTGTCTGATTCAGCAGCAAATAGAGAGGGTGGACGATGACGAAGCATTCGGCTTGTAAAATATGTTTAGGTTTATTTTTTTGTATCTTATCCGCTACGTAAAACAAACGGACACCGCCTTATAATTCTCCTGTTCGACGCCTCATTTTATTTTCACAATCATAAAAAGCGGAATCCCGATGGTTCTCCTCAACATCGGCGCGCGTCATCGCTAAAAATAGAAGGAAATTGAAAAGAGTTGATAGAGTTCAATGTATAAAATTTGAATAAAAGTCTGCCTCGAACACCCGGGGAACTACACCGAAGTTTTAATATGCGAGCGAAGTTCTTCGATTTGAAGATCGTGTAAAGAATGTCGCCGTACATTGCGCGCGCGCGCAAAAAAAAAGCTTCGATTAAAATTACACAGTGAGTCATAGAATTATTCGCGTGATCATGTTATTGTTAGAATAAATATAATAAAATTGTCTGTAGTTTTCAATTCTTTTTCTTTTTTTCTTTCTTTCAGATCTTTAACAAACTGTATGATTAAACGATAACGTTACGTAAGATACCTTACACGGATAGGTTAACGTTGTAACATTTTGTGAGAGAAAAAGAAATCTGACGTTCGTATTTGACTAGTTCGATAATTCCAGTGTTAATGGATCAAACAATGGTCTTGACACCATTTACTGATATGCACGCTCGTGATTTACGATAATCGTGCCAAGGTACGCCGCGCGAATCAGTAACGATCCCGTGTGAGTACCTGTTAACCCAGAAATTCAAATATAGGGCGGAACATGGCACGATTGATCAGGATGACAGCAAATTCGTGGAATCGCTGGATTCCGCGAACGTCGAGTCACAATTAATCCGCGTTCAATGGCATTACGGCGAATTATGAAATTCCGAATGAGCGTGCAATTTATCGAACAGAAGTGCAACGTCGTGCATAACTTTCGATGCCGTGAGAGCGTTAATGAGATACGCTCGCGTTAAATTGATTAAAACGACGTAACGCCGATGCATGATAATTATCGTGATATAACTCGCGATATTTCGTTAACTCGCAATTGCAATTTTTTTGATCTTTGCTTGAAGAAATAGAATACAGAACGTGTGGCATGTTTTATCGTGCATATTTTATTGAAGCAGACAACAATAAGGAAACAGACTTGCAAATGTTTTATTAAAATGTTGCGACGGATGAAGTAGCGGAACATCTTGAGATTGAGGGCGATAAACAGAGAATAGTTCTGGAAAGGAGGAAAAGAGACATGAAATATAATCATAACCATATATTAACTACCAAAGATATCTTTAATTTATGCTCATGATCAAGCCTTTTATTTAGCTCGTATTGTTTTGTCTAGTTACGTTTCTAATTACAATGTAAAGCAATGTAATGTAAAGTTAGACATAAAGTCGACAGATTTTAGTTATTCCATTCACTTACAATCAATTAAAATTAGTTATATTTGATGTATAGATATATATGAATATTATATTAGTTGTATTGTATGTCTGTAGGAAGCCATCCGGAACCGGAAGCCATCCGAAGCCGAAAGGCAAGAATCAGAAATAATAACATCAGAAAACATCTAGTTGTTTCATTTGAAAAGACGAAAGAATCTTTACGCCTAACGTTAGAAATCTTTCACGAATATATCATTACTAATTCTAAAGTCAATATCTTCACCGAGCGATTCTAATTCTACATTTGTAATGAGCTTAGTTTATTTGCCCGTGGTAATTAACAAAGTGATTTGATTATAATGACGAACAGAAGATGTACACATATGTGTTAGAAATGTTTAAAAGTATAGACATTGTGATCCATAATTTATTGTGTGAACGGTGTATTTTACCTTGTGTAAAAGGAAGTAGTTTTGTATGATTTCATCTTTGTATGATCTCTTCTTACATTCTGTATACAATACTCAATTTATGTTCCGTGCTATTATATAAATTTCTTAGTACAAACGAGATCAGGAAACTTCGATTTTGTTTGTCGAGTACGTGTTTCGTCTAATCTCCAATTA